ACGTCGACCTTACATCATGAACATAAACTGTAAATCGTAAACATGAATTTATAACTTTGTACTATATAGGGCTGCTCCAGTATTAACTGTCCCCGCAAGTACAAAGTAATGAGCTGATCTTGATCTTTAAAAATCGTAACTTGAAATATCATGACTCATAAAATATCTGACATGACTGATTTGAAAGGTTGTTATTACATGAAATCACATTACTTCGGTTTTAGTTTCAAGCCTCCATGGTATACCCGGCAGAATGGCTATTATTTTAAGCCTCCATGGTAACCCGGACTGTTGACTCTTATACACTAGAAACCGTTACCTTAACAATGACTTGAGAATTGTAACAACCTTTAACATGAAAATTTTTGTCTTGAACATGATTTACTGATATGACTTAAGAAAATTTGAGTCTATTCCTCGAATTTAATCAAGGAATTTCTCCCTGGAGTCTGCCAATTGATTGGCAAAATGGCAGTTTTCGATAGAAATATCTGAGAAACATGATTATTAAGATTTGTTTAGCACAAGTGCTTACAAATCTCCTGATAAGTTGCTAACTTGACTTGAATAAATCTAGAATTGAAACTAGAGTTCTCAAACTTAATCCCTTTCTAAGGTTCTGAATCCACTCATCCACGTTACGGGGATCTCCCTGCCCGGTGAATTTCTCAGCATGATAGTCGCGGCACTGTGCGACTACTGTGGCCTGAGTAAGAACCGAGTAATCGGGTTCCCTACGGGGCGGCATCTGATCATTGAGAAAGTTCAACATTATTGAACACATGATAATATACTCTGACTGATTACTAAGGCACACAGATCTCTTGACGAGTTGCCAAAACTGACTGACAAATACTGACATGAATCCTAAGGAACTCTAGAGTCATATCGGACGATCCAAATTCTAGAGTCATATCTGAATATACTGAATTCTAGAGTTATATCTGAACTCTAAAGTTTGAATCTGATTCGAGCATCTTAACTAAGTTCTTGACTGATTATTTCTGAGCATAGACAAAGTAATATGTTTATAATTGAAAACTGAATCAGCACTTACCTGTAGTCGGAGAGGCGTGAGCGTGACGGTTCAGGTTTTTCTAAAAATTTCTAGCTGAAAAACTTTTTAGAGACGCAGAAACGTGCTCTGATACCATTTGTAACACCCCGCCTTATCGTGAAATCAGAGTGCGAAAATTTCACAAAGTTATTTAAAAATAAAATCTTTTACTTTGCGAAAACTGATTCGGGGTGCTACCATAAAACGTGACTTATTTTGGAAAACCGTTATTTTAATTTTTAGCAAAATCTACGGTTTACTGAAAACATTAATTATCTAAAAGTTCGATCAAAAGATAAGTTCGTCAAAATCATAATCAACGGAAACGTAATATCGTCAAAATATATACACAGTCATAACATAAAAGTCCTGAAGCATCCGTCATCTCATGCTCCCGGTCCGACATCCTGACCTGAAAAACATGATAAAAGTGGGTTGTGAGCACTATGACACTGTGCTCCGTGGAAACTCATACTAATGTAAATATTGAAAATAATAACAACATCATGATCTTGGCATA